ATCCTCAAGGCATCGTCGTTGGCCTTGTCCTGACTGTATGCTACAAAATGCCAAAGCCACCTCTCCAGAGCCACAGTCTTCTGCTGCTCTGTCATGTCCCCACAAGCCCAGGGAAGCAAGCCACTAAGTCCCCAGACTTAGTGTCCCCAGACCCCGCCAACATCCTTGACCCTTCTTGCTTAGAATCCCAATATCTACATTTGTGTCTCACAGAGTCACAATATCAAGGACCTCGCCTCTATGGTATGCCTCCCAAATATCCATCCTCCCTCCTCTCCTATCCCTGGAAGTATGGTGTGGATAATGGGGTGAGCTTTCTCCTTTTTGGAATCCCTGGGGCAGAAAAGGTAGACTTTTGCATTCCTTTTTCCCTCTCTCTGAGACAAGAATGGCAGAGGGAAGAGGAACCAACATGCTCTAGACAGAAGACACTATATTTAGAGATTTAAAAATGTCTATTCTAGCTGGGCATCGATGGCTCATGCTTGAAAACCTCGCTGCTCAGGAGGCTGAGATCTGAGGATTCCAATTTGAAACCAGCCCCACACAAAAAGTCTTCCAGGCTCTATCTCTAATCAACCAGCACAAACGGTAGGCTGGAGACTTGGCTCAAGTGGTAGAATGGCAGTCATAAATGCAAAAGCTGAGAGAATGCCTTTGGAAGGCCTTGGTGTGCTTGCAGTCTCTTCCCACCCTTAAATTCATACAGGGGAAAAGGGATCCTTAAAAGTCAGATCCCAATGTCCTGGCAGCATTATCATCCTCCTTTCTCCATAAAGAAAGAAGAAGCTGTAGCTTTGAGGCCCAGGGCAGAGGTATAGAGAACCCCAGGAAGTGATATCAGCAGAGTCAGCGTTCCCTCAAACCTTGAAGGAGTGAGAAGTGAGTGGATGCATTGCCTCAGAAGTGAGTTAGCATTCCAGCAGGCTGTTTCCATCAATACAGCCATGCTCCGGGTCAGCACACAGAACAACAAGGGACAGTCCTAAAATTGCTCCTATCCCTGTTCTCGCTTTTCCTTGGTACCCATAGGGATGGATCCTCATTTTTCCATCAATCTGCTTGGTTTAGGAGAAATCTGAAGCTTACTCTGTATAGTAGAACAATTTTATTATTAAAGGGTGTGAGGACTCTGTATACACAAATTTAAGCTCCAAAATAAAGGTAGAAAGAGAGCTAGGCTTAGTGGCACATGCCTGTAATCCCAGCACGTAGAAGGCTGAGTAAGGATGACTGTGGCTTCAAGGTCAGCTGGGGCTGCATAGTGAGATGCTGTTTCAAAAGAAAGCATAAAAGTCAGGCATCACTGGGTCACATCTGTAATCCTAGCTACTCAGGAGGCTGAGATCTGAGGATCATGGTTCAGAGTCAGCCTGAACAGACAAATCTGACAGACTCTTGCCTACAATTAACCATCAAAAAAAAAAAAAAAAGTAGAGGAGCCGGACGCTGGTGGCTCACACCTATAATCTTAGCTATTCAGGAGGCTGAGATCTGAGAATCACAGTTCAAAGCCTGCCTGGAAAGGAAAGTCTGTGAGACTTTTATCCCCAATAAAACCACTCAGAAAACCAGAAGTGGCACTGTGGCTCAAGTGGTAGAGTGCTAGCCTTGACCTGAAGAGCAGAGGGACAGTGCCCAGGCCCAGAGTTCAAGTACCACGACTGACAAAAAAGAAAAGAAAAGACAAAAGAAAACTGGTAGAGCTCCAACTGAGAGCAAAGAAAAACAAAAACAAAACAAAAAAGATAAGCAAGAACATAAGGCTCAGAGTTCAAGTCCCAGTATACACAGACACATGCACGCGCACACACACACACACACACACACACACACACACACACACACACACAAGTCTTATCTATTATTATCCTCTTAGTTCCTTGGGTAAGCAATACTATTTGTACCCAAATAAAAAGACAACATAAAAACTATTTTCTTATTTTCTCAGAAAGAAAAATTCCTTTTATTTATTTTTTTGCCATTTAGGGATAGAGATAAAATAGTTTTCCATAGATGGCTTAATTTCATAATTTAATTATATACACTTAAATCTCAGATTATGTAAACTACTTACAGACACTTTTCCCATTCACATTTCAAGAAAATAATAGTTTTTAGAAGAGTCACCCCAGACAATTTTGAGGGAATGAAAGCTTCTCTTTGGCTAATGATGGTTTTGAGAAATGCCACTTTTTATACACTTGTATAATGTTCCCAAGAGAAGTTGTATCCCAAACCCCAAATGCCCATGCACATAGTATTGGCAGTCCCTCTACTGCCTCCTCCCCCTTTATCTGGGGCATATTTAAATTTGTGATTGTCTCCTCAAACTATCATACAGCTTTTTCTTTCTTTTTTCTTTTTTTAGTGCTATGATTTGAACTCAGAGCCTTGCTCTTGCTAGGTTGGCGCTCTACTACTTGAGCCACACTTTCAGCCTTGTTTTTTTTTTAATTTGGAGATGGAGTCTTGGGAACTTTCCTTTCAGGCTGATATTGAACCATAATCCTCTGGATCTCAGCCTCCTGAATAACTAGAATTACAGGCATGAGCCACTGGTGCCTGGCTTAATATAACAACTCTGACATCCACTTAAGAGGATGTCAGACTTGCAACCAGGAAGCCTTTCCTTTGGAAATGGGGCTTAAAAAATCCACAGACGACTTTATTCTTTAACCAGGTGTCTCACTAAGCATCTAAGACCAGAATTGATTGAGGTCACTTAATGTATGCTTCCTGAGCAGCGCTTTGTGGTCTAAAATGAAGTCCTGGAGAGAACATTCTGGAATGTGAGGCTTCTCCAGTCTGGGATTGTGCAGAGGCATCTGTCATCTCATAATTCAATGTGGTGACAGATGCCACCAACTCTGGGGTTACCAGAGAATCCAGAATGCCTTGGGATGGGTCTGTTCCCCAAGTGATAGTCTTTTGCAGGTTCCTTGAATTGTCACACCTTAGCTTTCTGACAGATAAAAGGAGAGGTTTAGGTTAGAGAGCAGCTTTTTGGTGGGGGGGAGGGGAGAAAAGGGATCCTGAAGAAATTTCATATGTCTTACCTAATTCACCAGCCAATACCGTCATTCAGCTTTGCTGAATAAATTTATTTATTTATATAAATAAATTCCAGGCAAAAATGTCCTTGGAAGTAAAGAAATCTCTTTTAATTTAAGAAAGGAAAAAAGAAGCAGGTGGTTATGAGGTGTGTCTGCTCAGAAGTTCAAAGGCATCAGGGTCATGGTTAAGTCTTGTTAGTAGAGGCTAACGAGAGTCTGGTGCACCTGCTGACTGGGGTAGACACTGCCTGGGAGCCAGGAGCCAAGCCATATGGTGTCACAGATGTACAGATCCCCCCATAAACTCCCACATAACTGCATCCCTTCATCTCAGCCAACCTGCTGCAGATCACCCAACAAGGAGACGATGGCTCAACTTTGCAAACTATTAAAATCACCACAGGCATTTAGGGGAATCTTGAGGGTTAGGCCTTTCCTAAGATAACCCCACTAAAAACTCTGGAAGAGGGACCAGAGCACCGGGAATCTATCTCCCCATGCGGGTCAAACATGCTGTCGAGTTTGAGTCAAGTACAAAATCATCTGTTGATTCCTCAAGGACTTAAAAATAAAGTTACTACCTCATGACATAGCAGTTCCAATGATCATTATACATCCAGAAGATGTGACAGCAGAGTCCCAAAAAAGAGAGTTATGTGGCCACAATCACATCAGGATTATCCATAACAGCCCAAGCAGGAAGCCACCCTATGTGTCCACCCACCTATACAGAATAAGGCTAGACTCACACCCATAATCCTAGCTACTCAGGAGGCTGACATCTGAGAATCCTGGTTCAAAGCCAGCTTGAGCAAACAAATCTGAGAGACTCTTATCTCCAATTAACCAGCAAAAACAAAAAAACAGAAGTGGATTTGTGGCTGAAATGATGAGTACTAGCTTTGAGTGGAAAAGGTAAGGGAGAATGTGAGAGACCCTAAATTCCAGCCCCAGAACCAGCACATAGAAAAGAAGAATAAGGAAAACATGGTCTCTCTACCTACAGCAGAATATTATGTAGCCTTAAAAAGGGAAGGAAGCCAGGCACCAGTAGCTTGAGCCTGTAATCTTAACTACTCAGGAGGCTGAGATCTGAGGATCAAGATTGGAAGCCAACCGGGCAGGAAAGTCTGTGAGACTCTTATCTCAATTAATGACCAAAAAGCTGGAAGTGGAGCTGTGGTTCAAATGGTAGAGTGCTAGCCTTGAACATGAAAAGCTCAGGGACAGTACCCAAGTCTTGAGTTTAAGCCCCAGGAATGATACAACCAAAAGCTGAAGGAGAGGGAGTTCTGATCTACTCTACAGCATAGACAAGTCTTCCCCTCCCCCAGTGTGACCAGCAAGAATGTCAACAGCCCTCGCCAAATCCTCTTCCCAGCTTGGGGGGGAGGGGGGGTGAGTTATGAGTCATCCATAGTTGAGAAGCACATAGTTGAGAAGTCCCCATCTCTCTCAGAGGTATTTCAAAGGTCCAAGTGAGTTTGGGATGGGAAATGTGAACTCACACAGAGTATCACCAAATCATTACCATCTTTGATGTTGTTCCAGCTTTGATAACATTGGAGTACTTTCCATTTATTCTTAGAAGATATAGTAGGCAGAGACGTTTAACGTGACAGATGGTCAGCATGGGTAGTGGGTGGAATTTTCCCTCAGCAAAGTTGGTGTGGCTTGTGAGACTTCCAGGCTTTCAGAAACCCTGGGTGCTCATGAGCCTGCCTCTGAGCTGGGCCACCAATCTGTATTGTCATTCCACAAGGCCATGGTTGCTAAGGTGCTCACCAGTCAGTGCCAGAATAAACCAAACCAAACTTCAACAAAACATGAAAAAAAGAGCAAACCCCTCCCATAGTAAAGTAGTTAGGAGTTTATGTACGTCTGTGTGCTTGACAGACAACCTCTCCTATTTTATGTCTCCCTTCCTAGGATCACAGGTACCCAGAGACTCTTCTCCTTAGGATCCCCTACTTCCTCTCAGGGCCTTTGGACCCATCTTCTTTTGAAGACTTCGGTTTCATCTAACGTTTTTCAAAACGTCCCACAAAACAAGAAGGCTCACAAGAAGGGCTCTGCTTTGCCGAAAGGTATGGAGGAAGACTGGGCAGGGAGCGGTATGAGACGAGGGGATAGGCCTTGTGACTGGATGCATCTGATCATTTAAACCAGCAAGTATTTACCATGTGCCAGGCACAGTACTGAGCACCAGGGTTAGAGGTAAGAAGCCATGAGGAGACAGCCACAGCCCTGGGAGCTTATTGGGTTGTCCTTCTAACAAAATCCTCTGTAACTACCCCAATGTGTGTCTCACCATCGCCACCACTGCAACCCAGGAGCTGTCTGAGCCTGGAGGTGTAGGACATGTGGATCAGACCATGAAGAATATTTCTGTGGGGCCTGGCACATGACAATTTGAGCTACAGAAGGTGTTTGTTGGTGGATTCTAACTAGAGATCTCTAGGTTTTCCTTTGGCAGAAGGGAGTGTGGCTTGAAATGGTAATGTAATGGTAGGATCTCGTGTGGCTTGCTCATTTCCATGAAGGATTTAAGCTGAAGATGGATGGGATGGACAAAGGAAGGCTAAATCAACAGACCAGCTGGGCAATCACACTGGAATCTTGGTCAAACTGTATTTGATTTTTTAAAAATCAGTTGTGGGGCTTGAACTCTAGGCCTGGCTCTGTCCCTCAGCTCTTCAGCTCAAGGCAAGTGCTCCACCACTTGAGCCACAGTGCCACTTCTGGCTTTTTCTGTTTATGTGATGCTAAGGAATCAAACCCAGGGCCTCATGCATGCAAGGCAAGCACTCTACCACTGAGCCACCTTCCCAGCCTTATACTTGATTTCTTGGTAGTATATACTAATAAAAAAATCTAAGAGAAGCCACTTAAAACTGGATTTTCTGTTCCTTGCATCATAAACTATATAGGTTGAAATAGACTTTGGTAACAGGCTACAATAAGCAAAATTCCCAGTGTTGGGTTGAGAAGAGACTTGTTTAGGCGGAGACCAGCAAGAATGCCTTTACTCTGCCTTGCTTGGAAAAAATGGATGACAGTCAGCCGGGCACTGGTGGCTCATGCCTGTAATCCTAGCTACTCAGGAGGCTGAGATCTGAGAATCAAGGTTCAAATACAGTTCAGGCAGAAAAATCTGTGAGACTCTTATCTCCAATTAACCACCAGAAAAGTGGAAGTGGTGCTGTAGCTTAAGTAGTAGAGCACTCACCTTGAGCTGAAAAGTTGAGGAACAGTGCCCAGGCCCAGAGTTCAAGCCTCATGACTGACAAAAAAAAAAAAAAAAAAAAAAAAGCTGACAGTGTTGGACACAGACCTTATCCTAATGGAGTCCCTGTCCTGTGGAGCTCTTATGAACAAGATACCAGCTGCCACCGGCAGTCTTCATTGAGGTCCTCAGAGACAAGCCAAGGTGGAAGTTGGCCCATTTAAAAGGGGAAATTAAGCCAATCCTGCTGGCTTGAAAAACCTGGTATTTCTAATTGGAGTTAGAAAATCACAAATGGGTGACTTAGCAATGGAGTTGCCAAAGAAAGTGATGCTTATGTCCTGAGATTTCCCAATCCCTAAACATGTACACCCTAAGAAGTAAGGTGCTAAAACAGCATCTTTCCTAGGAAGGCACCAACCCCCTACCCACTCAGATATGAATAAGAGTGGATGAGAGAGATATACGCCAGCACTTGGGGCTGCTCTATTGGCTGAACAAGAAGCTTATTTCAGCTGGGCACCAGTGTCTCATGCCTGTAATCCCAGCTACTTAGGAGGCTGAGAGCTGAGGATCGCGGTTTGGAGCCAATCTCCAGCTGACCACCAGAAAACAAGACTGGTTCTGTGGCTCAAAGTGGTAGAGTGCTAGCCTTGAGGAAAAGCTCAGGGACAGCATCCAGGTCCTGAGTTTAATCCCCACAACTGACAGAAAAAAGGAAGAGGAGGAGGAGGAGGAGGAGGAGGAAGGGGAGGAGGAGGAAGGGGAGGAAGAGGAGGAGGAAAGAAGAGGAGGAGGAGGAGCTTCCTTCACCATGTGGATGGGGAGATCCTGTGTTTCTGTCCAGCAAGGTGCTGTGCTTTATGCATTTTTGACCAACTTCAATGTGTTTCCCACCCTTCCCCTCTTTAAGGAAGCAATTCTTATTTCTGATTTATTTGATCTTTCCTTTCAACATTGCTGGCTATGGTGATGAACTTCAGGATTTAGTTCATAGAGTACCCCAGACATAATGAAGAACATGATGCCTTGCCCCTAAATATGACGTTGAATCTGAACCCACACTCACTAGCCGAGTCCTAGGAAGAGGGAGGAATAGATATTTATGATGGGCCTCTAAGGGCAGGAGGGGAGAGTACACAGATGTCAAGTGGCCAGAGGTAGATACAATGGGACACGGTGGCTATTTCCTTAACACATACCTCCTTGTCTGTGGAAAGCTATTGCGATTTTGTTCACAGCTTAATCTGCCTTTAGGGAAAGCTAAATGTACCTCTACATCCAGGACTGGAGGGTGTAGCATTTGCTTGCTACTCTTAAGCAATGAGTTCCCTCCATCCCTTCATTTGAGATGGGATGCTGGACAATAAGGGCTGTAGCAGCCAGATCACTGCCACATGAGAAGTAACCAGGGGTGAAAGCCATCTTGATTGTCCCATATCTGATCTCACCGTGGACTTGTGAGTTGTTTGAGGTTAGCATGGTGATCTGTCACCTGCAGCCAAATAACTAACCATTAGAGAGTGATAAGTGCTACAATAAAAGTATGACAAAAGGGTTGGGTGTTTGAGAGAAAGCAGGTTAATTAGCTAAGAAAGAGCAGCTGGCTTTTCAGCAGGTAGAATGGCAGGCATTGGAAAGAGACCAGCAGTTCTTAACATCAAGGACACCTTTTAGTTAGAACTGGCTTTTTCTGATTCATCTGGAGCCAGCATTATACTTCTCTCCCTTCATCCAGGTGAGCAAAGAAGTAGAAAGGACTCCTGGGACAGCACACCTGGTTCCCCATAGACATGGGATGATGGATCAAAGTCTGCCTTCTGTTGTCCCAGTCCATCAGGCTCAGGGAGCTCCCCAGACCCCCCCTCACACTGTGTAGTCAGACACCTCCTCATGCTTTCTCTTCTTCCCACATTGCAGGAGATGGAGCAAATGTCTCCCAGGCTGAGAGCCTTCCTTTCAGAGCCCATTGGTGAAAAGGATGTTGCCTGGGTGGATGGTATCAGCCGAGAGCTGGCCATCAATTTGGTCACCAAAGGTTTTAACAAGGTAATTTGTTCCCCTCTGCCACTAGCACACACACACACATCTCTTCCTAACCTCTCTTCCTCTAGTTCAGGCCAGATGGCAGCCCCTGCCACATGTCCTTATGAGGGACCATAAGAGAGCAAGGCTGGCACTTGGCAGGGCGCCACCTGCCTCAGTGCTGATGACCCCACATGCTTGAGCAGCCTCAAGGGCTTGCAGATGATGGGCAAACAGAACTGCTTCAGCTCAGAGCAGCTGGGCTGGGCATGAGTCATTCGGTCCGTGTTCAAAGGCTCAGAGCTTGGTAGAAGTGAGCCTTGCCACCAGTGTCTGGGGCAGAGCTGTCAGAATGGATGACTTGGATACACGCCCCACCCCTCGGGAAGGGGCTCATGGAACCTTGCTTGCCCCTGTCAGGATGCAAGCATTGTCAAGGCATATGACAAGCCAGCATCCTGGAATCTATACCAAGGTGAGAAGCTGACATTCCTAGCTCAAGAAAATGGCTTCAGGACTATCCAAAGCAATCTCTGAATAGATTAGTCTGTTTTCCATCGCTATAACAAAGTATTTGATGCAGAGTACTTTATAAGGAAGATACTACACTATGGTGCCTATTTCATAGCAGGAACACATAAAAAGGAGAGCTGGATCACATGGCAGAACAGGAAGCCAGAGGGTAGGGAAGAGACATCCTTACTCTTTTGTATATTCAACTTATTTAGTTTAGTGCTGGATTGATCCCATGCCTCACACATGCTAAGCATGTACTCTTCCACTGGCCAACACCTCCATGCTTCCCACCCTATTTTTCACTTTTTTATTTTTTTTTGTCTGTCACAGGGCTTGAACTCTGGGCCTGGGCATTGTCCTTCAGCTTTTCAGCTCAAGGCAAGTGCTTTACCACTTGAGCCACAGCACCACTTTGAGTGGTGCTTTTCTGCCCTGGCTGGCTTTGTACCGCAATCCTCAGATCTCAGCCACCTGAGTAGCTAGGATTACAGGCGTAACCCACCAGTGCCCAGCTTGAAGAAGTTTTATATGGATAGATGTACCCACATAGCCACCACCCTGACCCAGACACCTTTGAAATTCCAGATGGCTCCCTTGTACCTCTTTTCAGCCAATGTCATCCCCTATTCCAAGAGATAAACACTGTTCTGACATCCACCACATTTCCTTAATTGTAGGGTTTCATACTTGCCCAGCTGTGTTTATCATTTTAAAAAAATATTCTGGATTGGGGATGTAGTTTAAGTGGTAGAGTGCTTGTTTAGCAGGTACAAGGCCTCCTGGGAACAATTCCCAGTACTGCACGCAACATATGTATATATGTGGTGTTTGCTATATACAGGCACTTCCAAGCTTTCTAAGTATTTCTATCTATCTATCTATCTATCTATCTATCTATCTATCTATCTATCTATCTATCTATCTATCTATCTATCTATCATCTATCTAATTTAATTGTAAGTGAGATATACTATTTCATTTCTATTGTACTGATGTGGAAACTGGGTCAAAGAGAACACATGTGGATTGCTCAGTGTCATAGGAAATAACAGTGATGGAATCTGGGGCAGGGCAGACAAACCACAGGGCTCAAGGCCTCCAGGCTCCATTGTGCTGTATGCACCACTAGAAATACGGTGGGCTATCACCCACCCCTCACTGTTATACTCTCCAGATTCCAGGGCCTTTCCTAGACCCTCCCTTGTAATTAGCAGAAACGAACAGAGACCAAGCTCAGGACCACATGACCCCAGTGATCAGCTGCCATCTCTCATGTCACTCAAGTCCCAAGGCTTAACTACTGAGGCTCTCAGCTCCTGTCTGTTCACTCTGTTGGCACAATGCCCTACTAAATAATGTCTAGACCCTGCAAGAAGTCAATCACATGACTTTGGGGTTGCCCTGCTTTGAGCTTCTAGATAAAATACAAAGGATTTCATGAGCCTGGAATTCTGGATTTTATAGGATAAGCATGTCTCACCAGGAGACAGGGAGGAGAGAAAAGGATCAAGACCTAGTATTGGGCTGAGCATCCACACTGAAAGCACAGTGATACAAGCATGATGTGACCGGGGGACGTTGGCTTTTCAACGTTGTCATTGGTCATCAGTGAACATGCAGACCTAGGTGACGGTGTCTGCTTAGAAAAGAGAAGAGCTGAGCTGCATCATTGCGACAGAGGCCCACAGTAATGTAAGGGACATTCAGGACAGGAGCTGTGAGTCCGGTCTTAGACAGAGGGAAGTGATGGAAGCTTGAGAATGAGAAGCCAAAACAATATATGTTTATTTAACAAGGGCAGATGCCAATGTGAAGGTTCAAAACTTTAATGAGCCCAGACCAGGGCCTCCTACCTAAATGGCAGTGCCCAGTGCAAAATGAAATGGAAAGACTTAACTGTATTTAGACTTCCAAGATGGTGGCAGCAAGACAGTAGACATATGGTGGCTTACCTATGCATGGGACCCTACATACCCATGCAGATCTAAACTAAGCAAAGTCAATCTTGGTACAGATTCACATTGCCATAGTTTGGCAAGAGGTGGAGATACTCTTTGGGGAAAGCCTCTGGAGAGCTTCTCTTCTTGGCTTTTCAGTTGAGGACAAGTCTGCTCTTGTATCACCATTTTGCTGCTACAGGGAGAAATGCACTTTCTTGCCTGGTCAAGATGACCATCCACGACATCTTTTCAGGATTTCTGAACCAAATTCCTTACATCTGGGCTTCTGGGAGCCTCAGCCTTCCCTCTGATGAATGGTTTACTATCTGAAGCCACTGGAGAAACTAAATGGGCAATGAGCAGGGCCATGATGGAGTCTCATGAGGTTTCCTTCCCTTGGAAGCAAGGTGAATTCCTCACAGCTGAAGTGAGAAGGAAGGTCATCTTTCCCTCCTCACTTGCTAGAAGATGCCAGAATGAGACCAGTGGGAAAGCTGAGGATGGAACATCAGGTGGCAACTTGGCTTAGGAGTCTTGCCATGTTTCTGGAAAGTTCACCTGGATCCCACCTGTTGTGCATTCCTGGATTTCTGTCTGCTGAGCTTGGTGGCTAGAGAGGTTCAGATGACCAGATCAGCTGATTTCCATAGCTGGCCCCCAAACGGGTAGTAGATGAGTGGGAAAAAGGCAGGGGGCTCAAGCTCTCAGATTCTTAGGAGAATGGGGTGGGCAGGGTACATATGAGGACTAAAGTGTGCCATGTATCTCCAGAAGAGTGTAACCTGTCAGAGTGCTCAAATGTGCTACTTGCACCAGGTGCTGGTGGCTCACGCCTGTAATCCTTATTACTCAGGAGGCTGAGATCTGAGGATCAAGGTTCAAAGCCAGCTCAGGCAGGAAAGTCCACAAGACTCTCATCTCCAATTAACCACTCAGAAAACCAGAAATGGCACTGTGGCTCAAGTGGTAGAGTGCTTGCCTTGAGCTGAAGAGCACTGGGACAGCACCTAGGCCCAGAGTTCAAGCCCCACGCCAAAAATAAAAAAAGTGCTATTTGCTATTAGTTAAAATTATTATCACTAATGTTCCTCTCCTTGGACAAAGCTCTATGTCTCTTCATCCTAATGCATTTGCCTGGCTATTTCCATAACTACAGCACCTAGCAAATGCCAGTGTTTTAAAGCACTTAAAAACATGTTGACTTAAAAACACCACAGTAAAATCCATCAGTGAAGATGGAAGGAGACTGATAAAAAGTAAGATCATGCTAAGCAACTCTACAAAACAGAGAGAATAATTAAAGGGTGAACAAATGCAGCAGTGGTACTCAGGAGACTCTATGTTGAAAATAAACTATACAACTTATGGACGAAGTAGGAGGGAAAAACTGGGAGAGAAGGAAGGAGTAACATTGTCCGAAAAGAAATGTACTCATTACCTGACTTATAAAATAGTAACCCCTCTGTACATCATCTTTATAATAACAACTTTAAAAGATATAATAAAGCAACAAAGGTGGGGGAGAGAGATGGGAAGGGGAAACAAAGGAGGGGGCAACAATGCTTGATAAGAAATGGACTCATTACCTTGCTCGTGTAATAGCAACCCCTCTGTACAGTATTTTCACAATAAAAAAAGATTAAAAGAAGATATAATAATAACAAATCCATTTAAAAAGAATGATTAAAGTAGCAGTGTAAAATCACCATGAAGTCCTGGCGTCGTTTCTCTCTCCAACAATTAGACAATATCTAAAAGAAAAAAATCCCTAGCTAGTGATATATCTTAGCTTAGTGATAGAGTGCTTGCTTGCCTGGTGTGTACAAAGCGTTCAGTCTGATCCCCAGCACCAAAAAAATTTTTGAAGAAATCCAAACTCAAGCCAGGTTCTCATTCCTACAATTGTACAATTCTAGGTACTCAGCTGAGATCTGAAGATTGCAATTGGAAGCTAGCCCGGGCAGAAAAGCCCATGAGAACTGTCATCTCAACTAACCACCAAAAAGCCTAAAGTGGAAAAATGGTTCAAGTGGTGGAGCATTAACCTTGAGGAAAAAAAAGCTAAGAGACAGTGCCCAAGCCCTGAGTTCAAGCCTCAGTAACTAGCACAAACACACACACACACACACACACACACACACACACACACACACACACACACACACACACACACACACACACACACACACACACACACACACACACACACACACACACACACACACACACACACACACACACACACACACACACACCCTAATGCGGGTCCATTTTATGACTAGCTGTTATTTGATTTTACTTGTTAAAAAATATGTGCCTTTTAGTTAAGATGAAGTTTACTTTGTTTTATGTAACAGAAAGTCAACAGACACCAGCAGGTTTTCCTGGAAAAGGCCCAGAACTCAAAGGCGTGGGTGGATATTGGTTCTCGTTCATTCTGAACTGGAGAGCCCCCAAACCAGGCCCAAGAGACAGACATGTAATGTGACCTAAAAGCTCTAGCCTCCACCATGTAATGGCTTGGCCAGCTTATGCTCAAATAGACTTGGGAGATATCTTTCTCCACATGGTCCTTGTTCTTCCTCATCAATCATGGTATAATAAAATTGTAAAAGAGAGATGAAAACCTGTGGAAGGCACGTAGAAAACTAAAACACCCTGTAGAAACATGAGTCATGGTGCACTTAACATTTGTCTAACATGTATTGTTTAGCAAATCTATTAAAACAGACCGTTTCTATAAAACTAATAGTCCAAGAAGGTGGTGCTCCCATGGCTCAAAGATATAATCCTAGCAACCCGGAAAGTTGAGATCTAAGGATTAAGGTTCTAAGCCAGCCCAGGCAGGAACATCTGTGAGACTCTGATCTCCAACTAACCAGCAAAAAGCCAGAAGTGGAAGTATAGCTCAAGTGGTAGAGAAACAGTCTTGAGTGAAAAAGGCTAAGGGACAACCCCCAGGCTCTGAGTTCAAGCTCTAATATCTATATACACACACATAAAAATATACCAATAGAAGACTACACACACACACACACACACACACACACACACACACACACGAGTCACAAAGTTGACTCATACAAGCAGAGGCTGAATAGCTCCACAGGCTGCAGAGACAGAACTGTTGAGTCTAAGAAGTTGGAAAATACAGGATACAATAGAAGCCTATGATGTGGCCCCGGTCAGTAAAAGGCTTGGAAAAGAAGATACAGGTCTAGCATGTTTTATACTTTCAGTGCTGCTCCCACACACAGGACAGCATCTCTCTCTCAGGACAGAAAGAGGAATCTGCATTCTTTGAATGTTTTGGCATTTGGTTCACTTGATTTAATTTTCAGGGCAGGATCCATCATGAGCCTTGGGAAGGTGAACAGTGCCTTAACTTCTGCTGGTCCACACTGCGGTGCAGGTGCCTGGATCGCACAGGTGGTGTACAAAAACAAGTCGATGCTAAGATGGCCTTGGCCTGCCAGCCGCATGTGCAATACTTCTCAGCTGAGGGCGATCTTGGCACCATGGGGACATTGAGCAATGCCTGGGAAATGTTATGATTGGGAAAGTAGTGTGGGATAAGGAATGTCTATAACTCATTGATGTGCATTTCAAAGAAGTGCCTTGGCTGGGGATGTAGGTCAGTGATAGAGCATTTGCCTAGCATAGGTATATGCTAGGTCCCCTACTTAAAACATTGCCACCAGATCAACCATAGCCAGAAACATATTAGAAATAGAAAATCTCTGGGAACTAATGGCTCATACCTCTAGCTGAGATGTGAGGGCCATGGTACAAAGCCAACACTGGGCTGCAGATATATCTGAGAGACTCTTATCTCCAATTGACCCACAAAAAGCCAGGAGAAGGGGTGTGGCTCAAGTGGTAGAGTGCCAACCTTGAGCAACAAAGCTAAGTAAAAGCGTGCGGTCCTGAGTTCAAGCCCCAGTGCCAACACAACAATCAATCGATCAACCATTCAATGTAGTAGAATGGAAACTCAGGTTGGCTCACACCTGTAATCATGAACTCAGGAGATTAAGAGAATCTTGGTTTGAGGCCAGACAGGGCAGAAAAAGACTAATGTAGTGGAAAGTTGTAAAGCACCAGCCAGTTTCCCTACAAAAGGCCCAGAACTCAAAGTTAAACCAGGTTTTTAGGTCCTAGATAAAAACCCCAGAAGTTTTTCATATCAGGTCCTATATGCCAAATAAAGAGACATAACGAAGAAAGGAGGAAGGAAACTTATCACATGGAAACTACAGAAGACAGCACTTCAGTGTGTGTTTCAGTCTTGTTTAGCTGTCTTCAGGGGTAAAGGCATGGGCCTTAAGTTAATGGGGTGAATTTAGGGCAGGGAGGAAGAATGTACACATAATATATAGGTGTAGCCTGGTTGACCATTATCTCAGTGTTTGTCTCTGAAAGAGTTTCAAAGAAGTTATCACTTCATCCCTGGAGGGCAGCAGGAACAAGTCAGTCTCTGTTGCAAGGTCACTGTTCCCTGGCAGTTGATCTGTAGTTTTGAACTGTTCATTTTCCTTTGAAGCAGTTTTACCTTTTGCCACAAGATGATAAGAAGAAAGCATTGCCTGTCTGGGGGCATTTGCCTTTTGTCACAGGATGCTTATCGGTAAATCCTGTTCTTTCTGGAGGTGATTGCAAAGTGACTGCAGGAAAGAATGGCTCCTATCAAAGCACACACATAAAGCGGAGTCTGGGTGCCCAGCTTTTATCCTACTTTGCTTAATTCATGGGCCCAGCAAAGGCAGCTTTTCAGTTGACTCTAAACAAGTGGTGAGTGGATGTTGGTTCTCATTCATTCTGGGCTAGAAAATCCCCTCTAACCAGGCCCAAGAGATAGACATGTAATAGGACTTGAAATCTCTAGAGTCTGACAATAAGCTGGGCATGTAGTCCTGTCTCGTCATCCTAGCTTTGTGAGAGGTATAAATAGGAGGATCGAGGTCAGGTCAGGTCAGGTCAGCACCAACAAAAACATAAGACCCTATCTGAAAAATAACCAGAGCAAAAAGGACTAAGGGCCTGGCTTAAGTGGTGGAGCACTTGCCTAGCAAGCACAAGAGCTGGAGTTCAAAGCCCAGTAACACCACCACCACCACCACCATCATCATCATCATGGAACTCTTGATTTAGACTCTTTTGAGTCAGAAACTGCCTTTTTCCAAGATGCCAGGTGATCAGTGTGCTCCTTAAAGTGTAAGGAGCAAGCAAGCGCTTTCTGGGCTTGGCAGCCCTGGAAGATGAACAATCCATTTGGCTTACCTCTCACCAATTGTCCCCAAGCCCTGCTGGCTGTAGTCAGGGTTTCAGTGACTGACAACCTCCCTTATCTGACTCATTGCCCAACCTTTGTCACCTAGGTCCGTATGGTTGGAGGAGGAAGGAAGGGCACATCTGAGACATATTACAATAACTTTGTTTTCCTTCTTGCCTTGTCCCATTCTCCTAGGCCTACATCCTGCTGGGCCAGTTCCTTCTAATGCACAAGAATGAAGCTGAGTTTCAAAAATGGCTTATCTGCTGCTGTGGTGCCACTGAGTGTGAGGCCCAGGAGAGCTCTAAGTGTCTGAAGGAATGGTGCACCTGCTTCCTGTAGAAAACCCTTCTTGGCCCCTGGGCCAGAAATAATACCTTCTAGACCACCAGGCTCTGAGTCATTACTTGTGTATAAAGGACCCACACAAGAAAAAAAAACACCACGAATCAATTTCACAAATCATTCTCTGTAAAAATGTATATACTAGAATGGATAATTTTAGCCTTAGACAAGAACTGAATCTCAATAATGAATTACTATAAATCACAGTGCCTGAAAATAACAATATTACCAGTTAAGTATCCCTATTCCACACATACAAAGCATGGCTGGACTTTGCTGAATTATTTCTTCTTCATCAGATATGGTAATTTTCTAAATCAATTTCTTGTGAGTTTAAGAATAATAGCCAGAGCACTAGAAGTTTAGCTCAATGGTAGAGTGTTTGCCTAGCACACATGAGACCCTGGCTCAATCTTCAGCACCATAATTTTGAAAATTAAAAATTTTTTTTAAATAATTAATATGGGAGAAACAAAGATTAGGATGTTGTTTATTTTAAATTCAGTTATTGAATGATTTGCACACGTATACTGTCTCCTCATTTTTCACTGATATTAATGCTTTCAATTTATCAAGATCTATAGCAAATACATTCTTCCCATAGCACAGATATTGAAGAGTGGCTGTTCCTGTGCAGTGTAATTGTGAGGACTCCTTGCTCCTAGGCAATAGAAAGTTTTTCTGCCACTACATCTTCAATGTAGATAAAATTTTGGCCTGAATTCTTAGGATAAATTATTGGCCTCCATTCTCCACTTCTCCCTACATTCCCCACCTTTACAGTTATGTGATTTTTTTTTTCAGTCCTGCCCATTAAATGTGAGGGTAATTCCCAGTCTTGAACTGAAGAAAAAAAAAAAATCATGTGACCGTGATTTGTCTGGATGACTTGCTTTGGCCAATGATATGATATGAAGATGCAACAGGCCAGTTCTGAGTTCCTCTTGCCTCAGAGCACGCTCTGTGCTATGTTGGCATTAAGAGAACAGACATTCCCTTGGATACTTGCTGTCCTTTTGGCCTGGGCCCCTGAAGGAATTAAAGTGCAGCTGACCTGAACTCACATTGCTGCACAGACCCAAGGCCTGCTTGACCTTTTTTTTTCTTCCTGACCTTTTGTTGATGCCAAGTCACCTTCCTGCATCAGCCAACACTTAACCGACACAGATGTATTAATAAAGAGTCACTCTTTTCGGCCTCTGATGGTTGGGGCAGTTTACCCTTGAACAATAACTGATACTTACCTTCTAGTCTGAAATGTCCCTACCCTACCAACCTACCCTTGGCCACACCCAAGTCCAATCAAGCCTTCAGCCCAGGGCAGGGGAATGTATTATATCCAGACTCAATCAGATTCAAGTCTGAATGCTGTTTTTCCAGCATTCTTCCACCTCATTCTGGGTGAATTAATTTCTTTCTCCCATCTTCAGTTTTCTCATCTGTCAGGGTTAAAAAAAAAAAAGTTAACCCTGCCTCGAAAGGTAGATCGATGAGAATACCATATGTAAAGTACATGGTATAGTAAGCACTCAATAAACGACGCTGCTGTCTTTGGAGCCCTGGCCTCCCAAGCCCTTGATCCTCCCATGCCCCTTGGGAGAGAATTCACAGCTGTGAGTTGGAAGACGGCCCAGATAGCAATGTATCTAATCCAGCCTAGTTATGTCCCAGCATAGAGTAATGGACATTATATAACTCTTAGGATCCTCATACTCTTTAATGGGTAAGAGAGAGAGAACCACTGATGGCGATCGGGTTAGTTCAGATTTTGACTCTGCCCTTTTAGTCACATCAGCTCCCACAGGGCATCTGAAAAGACACATAGCTTTGCATGCATGTCCTCAGCCAGCCAGTGGTGCCTCTTCTATTTGCAAGGTAGCTGGTGGTTGATTCGAGAAAGGACTGGTGTCCAAGAACATTGATCAAATAACACAGTTTTGACCAGCATCAGAAAGGGCAGTGAGATGTATACAAGAGAGAAAAGTTGGCCAAGACTCACTAATCTGTAGTTAGGAAGTATCTTTGAGTCAGCAATTTCAGTTAGAATTTACAGTGTTTAGGTCTGCAGACATGGTTGGTGCTGTGGGAGATAAAAGTGGCGGGGAGGGAGTACTAGTTTCTCTGGTTTCTGGAAGTTACAACTTGATGAAGGGTGATTGGGAGAAGGGAGGAAACCCTAGCAGAGGTATTGAGAAGTGGGTCTACTTTAGATTCCCTTAGAAGTGAACCCTGAGACAAGAGTCCTTGTGAGAGTAGTTGATTGACAGGATATGCAGATGGAGAAGGAGCTTGAAGAGAAGGCAGCCAATGAACATGAACTACCACGGTTTCTCATCACTGTAGACAGCCTAGCTCAGTCCATCCTGCAGGGTGATTATGGAAGCCCAGTGGAGAGCAAGCACTTCAAGTGTTCCTACCCTGGATACGGTATCTCCATATCACTCATCAATGGTTTGTGGAGGGCTCTCCCACAGGAAGTTAACAACTCAGCTCCTGAGCCTGTCCCAAGGGGAAATGCACCTCACAGAGAAAGGCAAAGAGCTATGGGAACCTGCAGCTGGTGCTGGGTCAGCCCTGTCCTGAAGAGGGGACATAACAGGTTTCAACATCTCCTGCCTCGGGTGGGTTATGGAGTATGACAGGCCTGGCTTTGAAAACAGAATCCACACTTTTGCCATCAGTTTTAAGGCCTTCAGAAAGCTATCTTCTCTGTCCAGTTGCCTGACTCTAAAATTGTAGTTCACGTGTTAAGATTCAAACCCTAGGCTCCAGGGAAGAGCCAAACTCATGGTAGCTCTGGGAACTGAAATACTAAAATGGGTAGCAGTCTGTTGTCTCCTTACTGTCAGAAGGAGGTGGGTAAGGACCACAGTATTCAGGGGAGGTTCCTCAGAGAAGGTGACCTTTAAGCTCAGTATTAAAAGGAAGGTCAGAGTTTAATTGGTTGATGAGAAAAAAAGAGGGTAGGAGAAGACCGAGCAGAGCAGTAAGAGAAAGCCATGAAGGGGAAAGCACACACACCTCAATTGTCTCACTGTAGGTCTGCAGGGTATTAAAGCTCTACCTGTTTCCCCACCCCAGGTGGTGTGGATCACACCTGGTGACCTAGAGATGCTCTCAGGAAGCCAAACGTAGCATTTGCAAGGTTCAGACAGGCAGTAGAAGGGAGGAGGCGGATGGGACAGATGGCCCCAGGAAGATGCTTGTGATGGTTAAGGTGATAGCAGCTTCCTGAAGAACATCCCTCAACACACATTTACTAAGCATGCAGTATGTGTTAGCATAGGTCTAGACACAGCAGAGGAATCGAGCAGACAAAGCCCAAATCCCTCCAGAACAGACACCCCAATGGGAAGAGGCAGAGAACACGTTAATAAGTAAAATATGCATTCATTTGAACCATATGAAACTACTCTTCTTAAGATCAAATGTAGCCAAATATAAGCAAAATAATAGGGTTCAACCTAATAGAACGTTAGTTTCCTGATGGGTACTGTGAAGAGAAGAAAGCAAGGTGAGGAGGTTAAGAGAGTAAGGGTAGTCACTACAAAAATTAACTGAAAAAAATTTTTTTTTTTACTGACAAGGTGATGTACAGAGGGGTTACAGTTACATTACTTAGGTAATAAGTATATTTCTTGTCAAACTAGTTACCCCTTCCCTCATTTTTTCTCCTATGTTCCCTCTCCCCTCCCCACTCCCCTAACTGAAGTCTTAAAAGAGGTGAGACTAAAAGCCAGAGACTGGACCATTCCCGACAGAGGGAAGAGTCAGTGCAAAGGCTCTGGGTAGGGAGTCAGAGGATGCCAGGTGAGTCTGGGGTGTGAAATGAGCAAGGAAGAGAACAGATGGGTGGGATCAGAGTGTGTGGGGTCTGGCATGCCATTGATAGGACTTTTCACTCATTAAAAGGTAAATCCATTGATCAGACACGTACTCTAGAAGGATCCCTCTGGCATTAAGACAGTCTGGAAGGGAACTGAGAAACCAGTTAGAAGGCGATGGCAGTCACTCAATGAAAGATGATGGTGGTTGGGCCAGGATGGGAGCAAAAGGCTGGTGAGTTTTTAGACTCTGGATCTATTCTGAAGGGGCTGTCTCTGAGGAAAGTGAGAATGAAAGATCAGAGGATCATGGTCTGGGCCCCGGGCACCAGAAGGGACAGTGACAGAGGGTGAAGCAACCAGTAGTTAGGAGGCACTCCACGTACACACCAGGGTATGAGTTCCTCAAAGACAAGGAAGAGCAGATGCTCTCAGGAGAATGGAAGACAATTGGTGATATGTGAGAGAGGGAAGTGCTGCTGGTTCTGTGTCCACAGGCAGGAAGCAGGCCCGGTACCCAGGACACAAGAGGAAGACTGGCCTTGGCTCTGAGCATACCCATATGCACCACAAAAGGAAAGGCAGAGCAGAGGCCCTTGTGCAGGGAAACTCGCTGAGCTGGAAGATCACAGAATTTCCTTTCTGATGGCTTCTGGTTCCCTGATGCAATGAAAAGCAAGTTAGCAGGTTATGAACAAAAATGGAGACTGGAGCCAGGCACGGTGACTCGTGTCTGTTATCCTAGCTTCTAGGGAGGCTGAGATTGATAGGATCTGCCTGGGCAGAACAGTCCATACCAGTGGAAGAAGCTGGGTATGGTGGTTGAACACCTGTCATCCCAACTCGGGTGGGAAATGTAAAATAGGTGGATTGCAGTCCAGGTGCACACTTGGGCAGGAAGTAAGACCCTGTTTCAAAATAACCAGAGCAAAAAGATTGGGAGGTGTGCTTCAAACAACTATGTAGCAAGTGCGAGGTCCTGGGTTCAAACCAAAGTGCCCTAAAATAATGAACAAGGAAGACAGTGTGAAGTAGCTGTCTTGGGCCATGGGTAGATTTTAGAGAGAGAATGATTCCTTTATATAAACAAGATAGATGGATGGATAGATAAATCGATAGGTAGATAGATGATAGGTAGGTCCACTTTAGAGTATCTTACCTATCCTATGATAT